CTCATGGTCCATGATGCCGTAAGTCTGTCAAATGGTTGACATTGCCTATGTATGCACACACACACACACACACACAGACACACCGTGTTTTGTTTGTCCTCATACGGACAGACGAGGTTGGTAGGCAAAGCGTATTGACTGCATTCTTTGCATATTTGTCTGCATACACGCATGTAAATGGGTGTATGCATGCATTCATAGGGGAAATAGATGAGTCTTTTTATATACTGCACGTTAAAATGTGCAAAGGAAGGCCGAGAAAAACCTCATTCTCCACCCGCGAACATTTTCTTAGAATCTTTCCAGCCTTGGCCGTGCTCAGGTGTTCGTCCAACTGAGATCAACTCAAACTTATCTTCCAGCTACGCATATTCAATTGCATGGGGCCTTATCCTACTACAGCTCATGTCACAAATACCAATTTGGAGGCCTTGTGAATGTAAATTGTCGGCGAACTTCCAGGCATCTTCCTTGATAATTAAGTTTGAAAACTTGAATAAAAACTTGATTTAAAAATTACTGATAGTATCGAATACTACTTGTACCGCAAATAAGTAGGTCATCAATTTCAATGGAATATAAGTGTTTCGTTTTGAGTAGGTTTTCGAGACTGCCAATAAATCAGATATATATAAACTGTGTTCACTCTATTTCCTTTAAGGTGATAAAGAAATGACAGTTGAATTTTACCACAAACTGATGAGTGGACATGAGGCTTCCATTAAGTTTCACAGCATTACTTTCCCCAAAGGTATTCTCATCCAGGCTGGAGTGGACTGCAGTTTCGACCTCGCCTAGGTCTTACTAACACCACCAGCGGGACTCGAACCATGACAGTACAACATATAATATAGCCACTTTAACCGCTACGCCACATTACCACAGCTGCCCTTAGTTGGTAGGGCAAAAGTGCAATTCAAGGAACACCAGGCATTTTCCAATATCATATTCAGGTATAAACGAAAAACAATTATTCTCGCCGATTGCTATAGCAAATATAAGTTTGCTTCATTGGCACCCTCATCACAGAATGTGATTTGGGAAAATGTCGCATCTTCAATGAAACCCACATATTCCCTGTGACCTAAGGGTACTCGCTGCAATGTGGCGCAGTGTTTAACGTGTCGAGATTATACGCTGCACTGTCATGGTTTGAGTCCCGCTGGGGGTGTCAACAAGACCTATGCGAGGTCGAAACTGCAGTCAACTCCAGCTTGGATGAAAATATCTTTTGGGAAAACACTGCTGTGTGAAATTCAATGGGAACTTGGCGTCTACTCATCAAATTGTGGAAAAATTAAACTACCGCTCTTTCATAACCTTAAACTAAATCGAGTGAACACAGCTCATACATAAATGTTTGCCTATGAAATGGGATTTGAGAAAGTTATGGCTTGTATTGAATGTCTCATCTGCCCAGTGACTCATTAACTGGCACTGGTGACTGGGTAGTTTAATTCTTAAATCAAATTGAGCTGCAGAAGGTGGCTAGGCTCTTAGTAAAGGCATATGAATGGTTGCAGATCTGGTTGGTGTCACCGATGTTCCTGCGTCCTGACAGACAGAAGTTTCAGACGGAGCTGGTGGGGCTTGTTTTCGACAGTATTCACGACGACAGACGCTCTATACGCGAAGAGTAGAAGACGGGATTTCTTTTCTGTTTACAATATCAACAAGTGTCGACAGAGGACTGCTTTTGCAGTCACCACGTCCGCCCATCTACCACAGGAACGGGATCGTGGAACCGTGCCAAACTGAGTCGGCATGTCTGTCTGTCGAAGCCTCGGCCGGTCTTCAATCAGGCAGACTTTGTCGCCAATTGAAGCGAAAAACCGATTCAAACTCCACATTCAGACGCTGGTAGGAGTACGAGGCATGGGCCCTGAAGAAATGTGTGAAATTGACACAAATTACTCTCCATCACCGTATCCTGAAGCATTTCAGGTCAGGCTATGCATCAGGACTGGAAGAAACGTACTTGACGAAGACGTTCAACATATTTTGCTATTGGCGTATACTTCGAAACTGCCAGTACTTCTTGAATACGTGGTTTTTCAGCAGCCTATGATTGCTTTGGCTTTCGCCACATTGCCACCAGTGCCCTTGGGTCATACGGCAGATGTGAATTTCAAGGCCAGGCATCTGCTCTGTGACCCAAGGGCACTCGTGACAATGCGGCTGAGTGGTTAACGTGCCAAGCCCACATGCTGCACTGTCACGGTTCCATTTCCGCTAGGGGTGTTGATAAGACCTATGCGAGGTCGAAACTGCAGTCCACTTCAGCCTTTCGAGAAAGCAAGATTATGTTAAATTCAATGGAATAGTTAGCTCTACTCATTTCGTTGCGGTAAAATTCAACTACCAGTCTTGAGGCCTCGTTTGCTTTAAAATTCGGATCAGCCCCGTCTTCCACTGGCATCTGTGTCCGTGTAAATAAGTTGGTAACTATGTATGTATGCATATGTGTATATATGTATGTATGTATGTGTGTATTTATTTTAATGTAATGTATATATGCGTTGTGGAGTTATAATTTGCCGCCAGGACGCGAACGACCCGGTATTTAGTCCCATTTTGGGCTACAGTCCAGCCTGGGTAAGAATGCCTTTTTAAAAAGGAGGGCCAAGTGAAATTTAAAGAAGCCCTGAGGCATCAGATGTCCTTGACTGAAGATGGTCCTTATTTTGGGAGTGTTAAGTTTTCTTGAAATCTGAAGATGCCAATGCATGCAAGTTATACTTTATTCTCAAAAAAGAGGGTACCGATATTCATGCTGATGCTGATGGTGCTGAAGGTGTTGATGCTAATGATAGAGGTTATGGTTAATCCAGTGTGAATAATGGTGGTGACGGTGAGTCTGATGCTGATAAGGCTGAGTGGGCTGAGGTTGGTGACGATTCCGATGCTAAGGACGGTGGCGAAACTGATGTTGATGCTAGTCTCGATGTTGATTATGCAGAGCTTTTGTTTACGTCGATAATGTCAAAAATGAAGATGGTGATATTCACTATCAGTGATGACGCTGCTACTGATAGCGATGGCGGTGATGATGTATCGCCAGTCACTCTTCGAAATGGCAACTGGTATAGGGTTTGAGACTGCCAAAGCGATTTACGCAAAAACTGAAGAAGCAAGAGTGGTCTTGTACGGCTGCCCTGTTCCCGATGTCGGTTTTTGGCGGCTATTTTGTCTCATTTCATTGCACCCTCGCTTGACATCCGTTTGTTCACTTCTTTTCCTTTCGCATCCACTGCGTCCGTTCGTGCATTCACCTGGCTCCACTTGTTCTGTCGCGTGACGACTTCAGGAGTCCAAATTTCGGTGGCGTCGAATTGGTCTGGGGCAACCTGGAGCAGGTGCCGCTGAAGGTGCGCTGGAACCCGCTGACGAAAGACT